TCTGAGGACAGACATGATCCAACCATTATATGCGTGTATTTATTAACGCCTGACAAAGGGCTTTTGTGCATCTTCATGAAGCGTGCATAAAATACATCGCAAACAGACATTTCCACACTTATTTTCATTTTTATTTTATTTTATTTGGAAGACCAACAGCTATCATAATTAGGATAGATTGTACTAATAACAACAGTAAGCCAATTAAAGATCCTCATTAATAGATACAAAGGTAAATTTACAATAATGATAAACACGATTTAACACTCGAAAGTATCCAATACAACATATATATGCCAAATGAAGGCCTAACTTGTGTTATACATATAAAAGACAATCAACTCATACTTAGGACAGTCAATAACACTACAAGCTATTTTTAACAGAAAAATAAACACAAATACAAAAGTAAATCTTACTTACCTATGTTCTGTGACATACCCAGGTAGCGGTATATTTCAGCCTCGGAAAGGGTCTTCTATGTTGATGGACAAGTAGATCTATGCCCTCGGAATCCTTATCGTATTAGCAACCCAATCCTTTTCAACATAGAGGAGCGCAAACTTATCCGTCCCCAGCTACATTTTTATAGAATCACTAAAATCACAAGTGATGTTTACCGATTCCATAATATGGGAGCGACTGAGACGAATAACCTGAGATCATTCATATTAAAAAATTGGTCACATTTGTCCCTCTTTCTCGAAGCTGAAATATCCTCCTGGACCGTTCCAGTAAGGTACTGAGAGGGTAGTAAGTAAGTTCAAAGAAAGGCAGAATCAGAATGAACTCAAACAATGGCCCTATCATTCAGTTTCCCACACTACACGTACACTGCTAGAGAAAGTCTCTAACTGTATGGTCAACCTTGTAGTACCTAAAGAACTTCTATAGTCATGTATGCGACTCCTAGTCGAATGTTTTTCTGCAGACTATACAGACGTGGTTAATTAGTGCTGCCTTACTTCCGCGACCAACACCCCGACATCCATTTTGAGCGTGCGACATCACCTAATTTCAGTACAGGTGATAAGTGATTCTCGCACTCAAAATGAATGTTATTTGTTGGGTCGACCTAACAAATAACACACCTAAAATCACTTGTGTCCTCATAAAGTAACACTCCAAAAATTAAATCTGGACGTAACATCGATAATACTCACGTGTTCCAAACCACCGAAGTTGTATGGGTTACAAAAAATGAAAAAGGAGACAAATCGATTCACCAACTTACAGATTGGCTAAACACTTAGCAAAAATAATCTCACCATTCATCAGGATTTCTATCATTTTCTCAGCATCTGGCAGAAAATGAAATTATAGTCAGTTTTGATGTGCAATCATTGTTCACATGTTTACCAGTTGAAGACTGAATCTCAATTGTAACTAGAAGGCTGAAAAAAAAACTCAATACAACACACCGCTACCTATTGTGGAAGGAGGGGTTCAAAGCAAGTAGATGGTGTGGCGATGGGCTAACCTGTATTTCCCATTGTGGCCGACATATTCGTGAAAGACTTTGTGTAGAAAGCCTCATTTGCTTCTCCAGTAAATCCAAGATTCCACAAGCAAAGACATTTTCACAATTCTAGTTTTGATAAAGCATCTTAACTCCATACATTTTAAAATTCAGTTCACAATGGAGTTAGAAGTAAACTATTTTTTAGCTTTTCTAGATGTGTTAGTAATTTGAAATCCTGATAACACCTTGAGTCACACTGTGTAAAGAAAAAAGACTCATACAGATAGATATTAAAACGGTGATTCTCATCACTGTCCTTCACAGATAACTAACGTTAGTACATCTTTGTTTCAAAGAACAAGAGGGATCCGTGGCAGTAAACACCTGGCTGCCGAGTTCTTACTCGTCAAGCAAGTTTTGCATGACAACTAGCTTCGGGTACAAGAACGAGGGAAGCCCGCAACAGTCGACCGTTTGTCTGCTGTACTGCCATGTGGCAGATATTGCAATGGCAATTGGCTACATTTTGAAGCGTGCTTTCATTAAAACATACTTCAAGCGGCCGAAGGAGATTAGTAAATTTTTACCATCAGTCAAATGTGATGTCCCTCTGCAAGATGTAAAAATCCCATGCAGTCGTATGTTTCCGGCATATCCCGAGCGTCGCACGCGACCGCATCCACCCATAGCACTTTAAACCATTAACCTTATAATAAGAGACTAATTTTCTATTAAGAAGTTTGGTATTATAAAATCTATACAAAATTCTCTATCTGGTGGTCTAAACAAAAGTCAGTTTTTACTTCATTACATAAAGATTTTATTGTATTTTGATAACAAAAAAAATATATACCATGATGAACCGGATGTCGGCAGCGTGAAAATCACAATTATTTCTTATATATATATATATATATATATATATATATATATATATATATATATATATATATATATATAATAAATTCTCAGTAGCCGCCCGGAGTCAGGAAGTTGGCGGTGTCTCACCCCCGTGCCTCGAAAAACACGTAAAGCCGTTGGTCCTGTGCCTTATCTCTCTCCAGTCGTATAGGTTTACCATCCCATCGGATTATGAGAGTGAGGGAATAGAGAGTGCACCTGTGCTTGCGCATACACTTGGGCACTATAATCCTGTCCTGCACCGATGGCTAGCCTCAGCTGAGGCAGGCCGCCGTGGCGAAATTCGGTCTGGAGGACATTATTATTATTTTTGGGGTATCTGTATAGTTTTCTCATCTGGTTGGTTTCTATAAATATATAATTATAAATTAAAATGAAAAGATAAACATACATAAATATCAATGAAATAAAATAAATACAAAAATTACACAAATAAATAAAGATCCAACCAGATGGAAGCCCTCGGCAGGGGAGACCAAACGGCCGAGGGTTAGGGGGAAAGGGAAAGAAACCGACGGACGATGCGGGCGGTATCGAGGACCACTGCCTTCTGCATTTGAGCCCGGAGCGGTCCGTCACGGAGTCCCAGTCACCTCAGATGACCCGAGAGGCTGACTGGGATTAGCCCATTCGCAGAGACGACTACAGGAATAATTTCGGTCGGCCAACCACCCCACATGTCGGTCACCTCGTGAGCCAGGTCCAGATATTTTGTTCGCTTATCTGTTTCTCCTCGGTTTCCCCGAAGAGGTCACCGAAACGTAGCCAATTGAGGGAGGCGACTGTATCTACGAAGGGCTCATGAAGAGCCCTGTAGTACCTCCCGTGGAGCTCCTTCTCCTTCCGTACGGTCTCCCGGTCGGAAATGCTAAGCACTGCTGGGTCCTGCCATTGCTCGTGGGCTAAGGATAGAGGGGTAAGCCCTTTATCACTAGAAATGACGTCATTATAGAATGGATCATCCGATCTCGCCAGGAAGTAATCACGGAGGCTGCATGCACACTTCGCGATTATGCATGGTGAGCGCGCTCAGAAAACCACGTCCACCATGCTTTCGCGACAAGTAGAGCCTCATTACCGACGATCTCGGATGATGCATCCTATGGGACGTCATGGTAGTGCGGACTTTTCTATCCAGGGCGTTAAGTTCAGTCTGAGTTCACCTGAGTATGCCAGAGCTATACATGAGAACAGGCATGACCCAATCTTTATATGCGTGTGTCTTATTCACACCGGACAAATGGCTGTTAAGCATTTTGGTCAAGCGTGCAAACACGTCGCAAACTGACTGTTTCATACCAGCCTCATCGATACCGACGTTCTGTGACATACTCAGGTATCGGTATGTTTCAGCCTCGGAAAGGATCCTTAAGTTGACGGGCATAGATAAGTATATGCCCTCAGAGTTAGCAACCCTTCCTCTCTACATGGAGGACCGCACACTTCCATAAGATGGGAGCGACTGAAGGCGAATAACTTGAGGTCATCCATATAGAAAAGGTGTGTCACTTTTGTGCCTCCCTTCCGAAGCTGAAATCCCCTCCCGGAACCCTCCAGTAAAGTACTGAGAGGGTTTAAAGGGGGCAGGACCAGATTGGACTCAGACAGTCGCCCTGGAAGATACCCCTTCTTATCCTTATACGGCTTTCCGCAGCCATCATCCGCTCGCCCAGATGACAAAGGATCATACTCAACTGCTCCATACACTGCCCGAGGAAGTCTCTAACTGTACAGTAAATTTTGTACAGTTCTAGGACCCTCTTTAGCCATGTATGGGGCACCGAGTCGAATGCCTTTCTGTAGTCTATCCAGGCGGGGTAGAAGTTCCGATGGTTGAGTTTCATCACTTTTGCAATGACCGCGTCAATGAGGAGTGGTTCCTTGGTTCCACGACCACTGCCCTGACATCCATTTTGAGCGCGTGGCATCACCTGATTTAAATCCAGGTGACAAGTGATTCTCGCACTCCAAATGGATTTCAGTATCTTATATATGGTGGGTAGACACGTGATGGGGCGGTATTTGCTCGGGTCTGTGGTTTCCTGGTCTTTAGGAACGTGAAGTGAGTAATCCCAGTAGTTAAGAGACTCGGGAGCGACTTCTGGTGTAGAGCCTGACAGTGTAACACACTAGGAACCCCTTCAACTAGTAATGATGCAGCCCGTCGAATCCAGGACTTTTCCAGTTCGGGGCCCTACGAACTGCCTCAACCACGTCTTCCGGCGTTATGATAATGGGGTTCACAAGCGTAACACTCGCACCCTGGCCCGCCACAACTTCCATCCAAGGGCCCTCGCTCTGGTTTTCGGGCTCTGACCACAGGCCATACCAGAATGCCACAGTGTTGGACTGATCCGGTCTTGGACCCGCTCCACATACCACTGGTCACTTTAATGACCTCAATGAGAGCCTCCTCTGATCACTATGGAAGAGACGATTTTTGTTTAACCGCCTTGATCTCTCGGTAAATCGTCGAATCTGCTTCCCCCAAGCAGCGATTTATTGCTTCAGGTCGTCTATGCGCTCCGTTTGTTTCTGCGTGATATCCGCCTGGGACAAACTGATATTTGTCCCAGCAAACGCCATTCTAACGGTGCGCACTAATCTCGGTCTATTATTACCCGACCTGAAGCCAGTCTGCCATAAGGGCCCTTGCCTTTGCTATACGGTATACTGCCACTGCGGCGCCAAAACGAATTGAGTTCGTCTCGCAAACTTCCCGCCTGGCTTCCAAATAGATCACCAGCATTGGGTTAAGAGCCCTCACGACAGCCTGATTTCGTTTGCTTTGGGATATGCGGTGAAGTCGCGGTCGATTTTCAAGAGGTATGCTGCACGTTTCCAAAATCGCCTCTTCCAATATGCTCCTCATTTGCTCTAGTTCTAGGGAGACCATTTCATCATCATCGGAATCAACCACAACTGGAATATCCATGGTGGCTTCCACGCGTGGATGCTGTTTTGTCGCCTGAGGAGCAACATCCCCAGCCATAGCCAATTCATTCGATGAGGGAATGGCCTCACGTTGTAGTCGTTCGAGATCGGCATCGTCAAATATTTTCGAGCGCATGATGTACCGAACTCATGTCTGCCAGGTTTTGTTTCGTGACGGGACGGTTCTAGCTCAGCATGGAAGCAATGCATCCGAGCCCGATACGCTATCTACGCAGTATCTTCCCCTTTCACCATATAGTACGCCCGCAATGCGTTTGCGTTCATATTTTTGGGTCCAACGCATGCGGCGCACTAGACCAGTGGTGGATGCCGCTTGCCGAGTCCGATAGAACCCTGCCGACATCAAGCCATCTGGTGGGGATGATGGATGCGGGAGCTGCTAGGTGATCTTGCAACTCCTCGCGCTCGACTAACGGTCCGCATTCTGCCGCGTCCAGCGACAGCTCCAAATGCGCCTCGGTGACCCACAAGCAGCGGCCCTATACGTTTTCTGTTATAATCCATCATCCATTTTTGGGCCCAGCACCGTTTCATTGGATCATTGTACGGCCGTAAGCACAAATGGGCCTTTGCGCCTTCAGTACTGCCGAGGCACGGCGCTCACACCTCTTGGCAAGGCGCTGACTGACTGCACCGACGTAGCAATTTTGTCACTTAACTGTTGCGTCAGCGGGCGACGGGGTTGTCACTTCCCTACGCCTATATTATTATTATTATTAAAACAAATGCATTTAAATAATATTTATTATTATATATTTAAATAATATTTATTTAGTAATTTTTGGAAATATTAATTTATACCACAATATAATAAAATCATTGAAATAAATGTCAGTTTGGTTTTAGGGAATAATAAAACATTAGGTTAAAAGATTGAACGATTATATGTTTTGATTATAGTTAAAATTATATGCTATATTGTTAAAATAACGAAATTGTAAAATATTTTCTATCAATGTATGTATGAAATGTTCGAATGATCATTTAAATCTATTGAATTCATTGAACGTTCAAAGGGGTATTTTTTCATAGCGCTATATTAAAATGACGCGGAAAAAATGTTCAAATGTTGGGATCGTTAGTAGTTTGCAGTTTTTCTCCACCCGATGTTTAATGGTTACAGTAGCTTATGTAGGCCACGTAAGTTTTACGTGGTAATGCGCTGACTTATCACGTGTTCGGCGGTGAAAGAAAACAAAGTAAGGAAATCCGCATGTCTAAAAAAATAAAAAAAGACATTTCTAAGAAATGTGAAGCCCGCCAATGAGAACCCATTAGGGCAGCGTGATATACACTTCTTTGGTCTTAAAAACTTCTCAGAAATAAGAGGAGGTCTGTGCTCAGTAACGGGACATGTACAGGATGTAACTAAACAATGATAATTAACAACAGTATACACTCGAACCAAAGTTGTCGCCAAGATCACAATTGTCGAGGTTAAGTATCCTGCTATCGTCGTTAACAAATCTTATTATTTTTTTATTGCCCTGTACTGCCACGTTCGTTTAGTGATCGTAAGCGCGATCGTTGATCGTGATGTTCCGGGACAAACCCTGGGTCGAGCCAAAATCAATTATTGGGTTTTTCTGTCAAGAAATTCTCAGTAACAAACCGGCGTCGGGAAGTTCGTGTTTCACACTCATGCCTCGGAAAGCACGCAAAGCCGTTGGTACTTCGCCCGATCTCTCTCCGGTCGTATCGGATCACCGTCCATCGGAATTTGATTGAGAGATTGAGAGTGAAAAAAGGAATAGACAGTGTACCTATGCTTGCGAATATTTTTGGACTACTCTTTCTTAAGGAAAGATTTAATTTACCACGTGCTCGGCGGTGAGCCAAACATCGTAAGGAAACACAGTTGACTAAAAATTAAAAAAATATATATTTCTAAGACATGTTACACCACGAAATTAGGACACTTCCATTGGTTCAAGAGCCAGCGGCTAAAAACTGTTTGAATTCACTAAGGCTACTTTTTTCATGGTTCATTACAATGGTTGCGTATACAAACATACTGCGGTGAGTCGAGCTAAACTGAGAAAAGGTGACTCTAAACTAAACGCTAAACTGAGATGCGCTATCAAAGGTGTCGTACCTGCCGTGGTAATAAAATGAATTTACTAAGGCTAAAAATTGTTATACAACTTATATAATATTTCATATAAATAAAAGTTGTGATAGTCACTCAGTCACTCACTCATACTGAGATGAGGACGGAGCTGGTCGATCGGCCGCCATATACTCGTATGTGCAAAAAATAAATAATGTGCGATTCATTTACTACACTTCAATTTTTTGTAGCGGTATTAAATATTACTTTAAACATAAAAAAATAGTCAGTCATCGATTTTACGGGACAAGGCCCGTCAGTCAACAAAAAAAAAAAAAAGAAATAAAAATATTGTTCGTGCGTGCTCGGAACAGGCATAAATTATTTAAAGAGTTATAGTATTTTACGGACTATAATATAGTATTTTAAGAAATAAAGAAAAAAATTCAATATTCATGTTTGTTGCTTATCTCTCTGCATGTTCAAGAAAATATGTAAATAAAATTTCATATAAATTTTTTGTCAGACTCAAATTATAAGTAGCAATGCATGCCATATATTTTTTAATGTACACTGTGTACGTAAACCTTGTAGTGGCGTTGTAGGAATGGTGGACCACCATATATCGTCCCGTGGGTGTCGTGAGAGGGAATTTCCTAGTGGGAAACTAAAATGGTGATGGGAAGTAGCATCTCTCTGATAACAATCAAAAATAATAAAAAACTGCGGTTGCCAACTCGCTTACAAGCGTGGCAACTATGGCAACATCCCTCCTATGAGGCAATCTATGGGGAGATCTGTGTTCAGCAGTAAACTTTTATATAGTGTAATGGATGGATAGATGAATTATATTTATTTTCGTTACAGCTTATTATGATATAAAATTATACACGGTGTTCTAGTGTCCGGTACAAAAGAACTCCGTCGTAGACCACATCGATGTCCTAAATTGAGTGTATTTTATAAAAAAAAAGTATGTATGTACTTTATATAGTATTAAAATATAATATAAAATATAATAGAATATAAAAATATTATAACATATAAATTATTGAACGATAAAAACTATCGATTTAAATTTTGGACGTAGATTAAGAGGCAAAAATAAAGAAACAAAAAAGAGACTTTATACAAATCAAATGCTACGTAATACACTTTATATATTATTGTGATATTGCGTACTGTAATGGCCCATAATCATTTATATTTTTTATTTGGTTGGTTCAGTTTTACTTTTTTTTCATCTAAACGCGCGGCAAAGCGCTAGCGGCTTACCCTGGCTTTACACGAACTTTTTTCTTTATTGGCTTATAATCCTTTCATAAAATATGCATGAAATAAAATATGTAAAAACTATTACAGAAGCCGTTAATATACAAACAGGCTTAGATAAGCACTTTGCTTAAGACTATAACTTAGAAAGACTATAGGTTAAAGCAAAAGATAAAGTTGAAATTCTGCCACACCCCCACCAGGAAATCCTGCCAAACCACCCACACGTGCTGCACCCTATTCTTTAAAAAAAAAAACTGCCCGTTCCACTGCTGGACACAGATTCCTCTCGTTTTTGAGAGGGTTTTAGGACAAGGAAGTGTCCACCGTGCTGCTGCTAACTTATTGACTAGATTAACAATATTAGGTAGCAATAGAATACGAATATTAATAATCAAAAGATATAGTTAAAATATGTCATCACATTTATATAACCATACAAACGTACAGATATATGCGAGTAAAGCTAATAAATATTTGTGATTAAATTCAAGAAATCAATAACACTTTAACGAACTACATAATATTAAAAAAAATTGCGGGCTTATGCTTGATTAATATCGTAATTAACATGATTGCAATAAGATAAAAAACAATTAGACGAAAAGTAGCATACGGGTAGAGGGGGTAATTTATATAAGCAAACATTGTTTGAAATGGTTTAGTACGTACCTCTTTCGACTTTTGTAGTTTTGCTTCGCTAATTTAACATGATATTACAAAAGACGATTTTTAAATGTCTTAGAAAAAACGTTAGATGGTAAGTTAAATTTTAATCTAAAACATAGTACATTTAAGGATTAGTTTTTATATTTATGTTTTAAATATTTTACCAAAGAAAAAATTCTAACCAGCGGCTTTGTTTGTTGATTTAAAATACTACTACTATTACTACTAATACAAAGAAATAATTTGCGACCAGATTTAATAATAGTTTATTTCAGAATGAGAGTAATTAAAAAAGTTCTAGAATGGATATACACATGTTATAGCCATTTCGTAAAATAGTAGCACTGCATGAAATTAACACTATTTGTTGACTATTTATGGCTTGAACAAATCAATGAATGAAGTTATTTTGACAGTATTAACAACTAAGCACGATATTGCTATTTTACGATATGGTCATATCGTAAATAGTTTCATTATTCACCGCAAGCGGAGCTGATAGCAGATCCATTCTACGATCTGACTACGACATACATATTGAGTGTAATCATATTTTTATATTGTTATAAATAATGTTAATTAGATACGTGTTTCGTATATTGTTACACTTATATTACATATATTGCTATACTTTGTTTTGTTATTATTTAGTATGGCAAATCTAAAAATAAATATATGATTTTTAAATGCAAAAAAACTGCATACTATAGAGAGGTAATTACTCGAGCACGAAATACTCACATTTTCATGGCTATAAATTTATATTTGAAACAGACCTATTTGTAAGGACTTCTTACAAATATGGTTATATCAATTCACATTTCAGAAAAATCGGTCAGCAGATATTCGTTCGAGATATATTATTATATCGTGGCGTATTAATATACTTTTCTCATCTGGTTGGGCTTTATAAATATATAAATGAAAGTGATAAATATGCGACATATAATCAAATAAAAATCCATCGGAGCTCTCGGTACGGTAGACTTAACGATCGAGGGTTAGTTAGAAAAGAAAAGAACCCGGCGGACATGTGTGGGCGGTATCGAGGAGTCCGATTTTCGCATTTGATCCCGAAGCGGTCCGACTTTGAGTCCCAGTCGCTTCAGATGAAACGAGGCTGACTGGAAATTCGCAGAAACGACTACCGGAGTATTTTCGGTCGGCAGACCACCCCACACGTCGGTCAGCTCGTGAACAGTTCCAGATACTTCTTTTGCTTATTGAAAATATCCTTGACAGTGCTTGGTCCGGAATTAGGCTTATTCGCAATAATAAACCCGTCTGTGATGACAGCTTGATTCCAGTAGAGACTAGCACGACTTCCAGCAATAAATTAAAATAAGGCAGTTTCCAATCGACGAGACCGTACTTCAGAGCGAAATTCTGGTGTATAATCCTGGCTACTAGATTGTATGTATCTGCGGAATAACTCAGAATTATAAAGCGCCAAATTACCGGAGACAACATGCCTAAGTCATTCACCGGGATATAATAAATAACCTACTCTTTGACGGAAAAGTCGCGTTGCGAACTTACATCCAATAATTTTTAAAAAAATTCCAAAGGTCTTAAAAATTAAATTATAATTTATGCAAAACCTCACATAAAAATGATAAATGTTGCAATAAAAATATTAATAAATTCCTCTTTGATAAGTATTCAAATTTATATAATTGTTTTTAAATTTTTTTATTATTTTTTTTTGTAATTTTGGTAGTTGAACAGTTTTTAGTATAATTCCGTTCGTTGGTCAAGTAATTAAAATCATATTATGTAGGTATAAAGAATTATTTTAACGGACGGAGCTTATGTTGTAATTTGTTCTTAAATCATTGCAATCACTTTTTTAAACAGTGATAGATTTAAAAATACGAAATTTGATTTCTTACATCAAGAATGTAAACAAATTTTGTTACGCTTCGAATTCAATTCTCAATTTATTTAGACATTTTTTTTATTTTATGCGAGCAGCTATGCAGGTCTAGGGAAAGGAAAGAGACCAGTGTCATTGCAACCATAAATATCTATAGTGATCGCTTCTATGGCTACACCGAATGTTGGTACTGATAAGTCCTATGTTTTCGATGAATAGAAGGAGTTGCTTAGCTGTGAGTAATTTCAGTTCTTCTGGGCAGAGTAAATAGTTTTCCAGATGAGTGTTCCGTATGCGCATTAAGGGTCCGCAATTAGGGATGCCCGATCCGAATCGTTTTTCTGGAAGATCGATTCACGGCCATACGATATACCGATTTTTTAATCGATTCAAGGGAATACGATCTTCACCCAGATCGAATTGTATGCCTATAACGTGCACAGTCGAAATGGTATGAAAAAATCGTATCAACTGAAACCTAAACATCAACCGAATCGTAACGTACTATAACGTACCAACTGATCTTTGCATACCTATTGTATTGACGGGAAGAACACAGAATAACTAAAACAAAGAAAGATTACCTACCTACACATTGAATAAGCGTATCTTTGAGTTACATTGAAAGCTTAATGTATGAAATATGAAGGTAGGGATGATAATACTTCGTTTATTTTACTATCACGTTAGTGTTCTATGATCTTTCATTCTTTGTAAGCGTTTTGTGAGCGTATCAAATCAAACGTTTGGGCTTTTCAATTAAACGTGACATGGGTGGACAATGTAAAATATATAAACAGATGGTTAAAACTAGTAGAAATACTACCAATTTAAAAAATCATCTCAGACATCATGACATAGGCACTTATCCTGAGTAAAAAAGCAAAAGTAAAGAAAGTTCTACTACAGCAATAGCAGAAATCGTAAGTATATATCTTCTGTACAAATAATATTGAAAAAAATAAAAGTGTCCGTTTGTGTGCATTGAAGTATCTGACAATTGTTGCAACATCGGTCCTTTCAGAAATATTTTCCCTTGCTGGAAATACATTAATAGATAACCGTAATAGGGCAGATCCGGTGTGGCTGTCAAAATTATTATTTTTGAAGAGTTTAAATGTAAAAGATAGCTAGAATTTATAATGAAAAACCTATTTTATACTTTAAAAAAATAATGAATTTGAAGAAGTCACTGGATACCGTAAAAGACATTGTTAAAATAAATAACTTTGCATGCATACTACGCTTTTCTTTATTTTTATAAAATTATTATTTTACGATACGATTTTACAAGTTCGAATAAGATCGATTCAACGCAATATAATTAAATCGTTAATCAATTCACGAGATTACGATCCATTACGATCCAGATGATCGATTAAAAACAAAAAATCGGGCATTCCTATACGCAGTCAATTAGGATGTGCAGAGGCGTTTCTTCCGTTATGGAACAGAACATCCTTGCTTGAGTTGCAGAGTTGCTTAATCCCAGGATGGACATTTGATTTTTAAGACAACACACATTAAGGTTTTAGAATGTTTTAGCTTGGTGTAACTGACCAGATATTAAGTAATTTATTGTAATAAAGAATTTCAAGGGTTAATTGGGCTAGGATTTTTGAGATTCCACTAAATGCCTTGGGTCCAAATTGAGTACTTGAGCCCTCCCGTGCGAGTTTGTCAGAAAGTTCGTTGCCTACAATACCCGCGTGATCCGGAACCCATTTTCAGACGACCCTGTTGATTATCCCAGGGCGTTTAAACGGTACACGCAGTTTTCAACTAGCTTCGAGTTCACTAAGCTTGACCTCAGCGCTAGCAGTGATGCTTGGCTGTCAGAATTTATCTAAATTATATGGTTGACTTAGTGTTTTTGCAAATTGATTTCCGCACATTGAAGTATGGTGAAAATTTCTGCCTGGAAGATAGAGGTGAAACTACCCAAATTATTCATACTTTGAACTTACGGCGTTCCCCATAAATTCCAAAGCCTACGTCGAGGCCCATTTTTGATCCATCGGTATACCATATGAGGCTTTTATTTGATTAGTCATATTATAATTAATTGTAGTTAAAACGGCCGTTCTAGCACTCTGATTACCAGAACTTGATTGAATGTTAATTATCTTCAAGGCTAAAAAAGTAAAAGGAAAATTAAATTTTTTCATCTCTGCTAACTTTAACCATGATAGTTGAAAAACTACAATCATTCCGTAGTTTTTTAATTAGAAAATAAAGAATTTGTACCTTGTAGTAAGTTCTCGTCGCATAATGGCGGCATAAGAGTAATCAACCGAATCAACCGTAATCAACCGTAATCTCCATCTTGGGCATGGGACAGGTGACAGCGTTACAAACTTATTTTTATATTTTCAGGGGTTCGACTCAAACAAATTTATCATCTCTTTATAAAGACGTTTTTAAAGATTTTGATAATTACGTACCGAAGATAATTGATGATGGATTAGCTAATGCCACGTTTATAAAGTCGGCAGCTGTAAAATCAAGAATAAAAGAGGTATGATATTAAAAAAAATTAATCATAAATAGTTAATTAGGGGCCATTTTGTCAATCTGCAGATAATATTTTTTCTTAGAATAAAATACAACATAAAAAAATAAACAATATACAGATATATATATATATATATATATATATATATATATATATATATATATATATATATATATATATATATATATATATATATATATATATATATATATATATATATATATTAAGGATATGTCTTATTTGGTGTACTATTGCATTATATCTTTAAACGTTTTAAATGATAATTGAAAAACTAACCTTGAAATAAATATGTTAATTAGGATACATTTCAATAACACAACAATGTTAAAAATTTAATAAAAATAATTTTACACATTTTGTTCAGCATCACCACGGTCAAGGGGCCTCTAAAATGAATTTTTAATCAATGTGTTGTTTAGATGAATATAAAAAAGTAATTATTTAACTGAGTTTATAAAAAAAATTGAAAATGAAGTTTTGCTTTAAAAAAAGTGAATTTTTTAAACAGTTATCATACTCATACTAATAATTATACAAAGTACCATACCATATAATTTGTTTAAGACAGTTAAGACATTATTCTTCAAAATCAACGTCAATTTTTAAGAAAAGCTTAAAGTTGCTCTTTTTCTTTTTCCACTAAATGGCAATAGAAAGAAATACGTAAGTGAAGTGTTAACTAACTTTATACCTAATAGAGTTAATACTTAACTTACGTGAGAAGTAATCAACGATATGAGTTAGACCGTTAAAGAATAACGTTAAAGGCCGAGTTTTGAATCCTCCGGTTTCCTGGGGTTCAGGTTAATTTATCTCAGAAAGTATCACTTCAATAGAAAGAGAAAGGTTCCTTAGTGGCAGCCTCGTACCGGTAAGCAAAATGTGGGATGGCTCTAATTAGTCTTAACCCGGTAAGACAAGCAAGTTGTCGATTGATACAGTTGGCTCAGGACCGTGTTTTATGGCATTACTTCGGGGGAGACCTATATTCAAAAGTGGGTTTTTAAAGGGCTGTAATGATTGACATAATTTAATACTATATTTTGAATATATAAACTATAGAATAGGGAATATGATATACGCTTTACCATCTTAACCTTCGGCATACAACGTGGGGTATTTTTAACCACAGCTCCAGAAAAATACGTCGACTTGTAAGTAATAGGATGCAAGATGATGATATTGCGGCGGCTTAACTTGAAGAAAATGTGTCAGAAGACGATGAAAACTATCTCTTCGACAGTGATCATAATAAGAGGAGTCTGAATCTGATAGTGATACGGACGTGGAAGACCCTGAACCTATGGAAGAAACGCCTCTAACGCTACCATTTTATACAGGCAAAGATGGCAAAACCAAGTGGTACAAAACGCCACCACGGACCAATGTTCGAACAAGGTCTGAGAACATAATTACGCATTTGCATGGGTGTAAACGTACTGTTCGTGACAAAAACACATTTGGAATGCTTTGAAATATTTTTTTCAGAAGAACTTGTTGACATTGTTTTGAAGTATACTAACCAAAAGATTTTTTTGAGATTGGAAAACTCTGAACCTAATCCGTCAACCAAAGAAACGAACAGAGAAGAGCTAAAAGCTGTTTTCGGATTATTGATACTGGCAGGTTTATATAGATCTAACAGACAAAGTATTATAGATTTATGGGCTAATAATGGCATTGGTATCGAAATATTTAGAAATACTATGACTAGACAGAGATTTACGTTCTTGGTAAATAAATAACTTGAGATTTGATGACGCATCAACGCGTACAGAAAGAGCTGCTATCGATCGTTTGGCACCAATAAGAGACGTATTTGAAGTTTTCGTCAAAAACTGTCAGGATGCCTATACACCGTTTGAGTACTTGACTATTGACGAAGAACTTGTGGCAACACTAGTGGATGCAAAAACATTTTATACAATGAACCTGGAAATTTACTGTGGTAAACAGCCTGACAGTAGCTTTTACGGAGTGAGTAACAAGCCATTCGATGTTGTAGACCGCTTAGTTAGATGTGTGTCTGGATCTGGAAGAAATATAACAATGGATAATTTTTTTATGAGCTTCGAAACTGCTGAAAATTTAGGGAACTTTATCAAGCAATTAAGATTTTCATTGCTGGAAGATCATCTAAGAAAAAGAAAAGACAATCCTCATGTTCCTCGAGATATTAGAAAACGTGTGCACCAAATTGTGGATGAAGAGGTTCCAGGTCCGCCACAAAAGCAACCAAGGAAGTCGCAAAGGTGTTCTTTTTGCCCAAGAAATAAAGATAGGAAGACGTTAAACAGTTGTTTCAAATGCAATGTTGCAATATGTAAGGAACACGCAAATCTGATGTGCCAAAATTGTACTGATTTAGATAACGAATGATCTCGCTAGAGTAAAGAAACTTAGTTATTTCTATATTTTTTTATAATGTCACATATTTCTAGTTTTATAATATTGGCTTGGACTAAAAGCTCCTATTAATATATAAGACCCACGTGTTTTTTTTAGATATAAGGAAAATTCGTTGAATTTTAGGAGAACTTTTGTATTTTGTGTTCTTTTTTATAATTAAAGTTTATTTTCGTAATTATTTTGCATTTTAATTATTACTTTATAACTAATTAAGCCAAAAACCCTATCTAAGCCGTTGTATTTAAATAATACCCTTAATACATACTAAGTTAAAAAAAATGTGGCATTTTTTTCTTAAATTTCAACCTCGCCTGCTTATGATGATATCTGCTGATTAATAGATGAGTGAGTGATGATTGAAAACTTATCCAAATTTGATGGATCCAGCCGGTCTATTCGCTAACTTCGTTGACATCAATATGATATTCACTTAGTAGTACATTACATCGTATGTTTTATGAGACGTGGTAGCTCTTATAAACCTCGTATATGGCATATGATTATATAAACAAAGAAAGAGCAGTGTTCAGTTTTGAGAAAAAAGGGTAGCATTGCGAGGGTATCGGCACTATGTTCAAAAGCCCACTTTGGACTTATACAATATGTAAAAATATCCTGTTTGATCCGATAGGATATCGGGTAGGCTTTTGAGTATCATGATATGATTCTACTCATGTAATCCTTTTCCAAAAATAACTACAAAATCACCTAGCAAAAAAATTATATTAAACGAGGAAACTTTACAGGAAAAGTTACAGCCAATATACGTTCCACAGCTGGGCAAAAGCCTCCTCTCATTTCTAAGAGGATTCTAGGGCAAGGAAGTGTCCGCTGAGCTGACCCAATTTTTGTAGTTGGCGAACTTCACATGTCTCTGAAATATTTTTTTTATTTCTCAGACATGCAGATTTCCTCACGATATTTTCCTTCGCCGTTGAGCACGTGATAAATCAGCACTTAAAATTGTAATTAATAATATCATTGGTGCCACCACGAGAGGCACCAATGATATTATTAATTACAATTTAAGTGGTAAGGTACCACGGCTCTAACTTAGCTGAACTGAAAACCAACAAAGAAAGATAGACTAAACTCTATGTTTGTTTCTACTGACGCCTAAACCATGCTCAACTTATTGTAAGAACACGCACATACGCACCGAAAACTAAGTTGTTGTGTATGTGTGTGTATATAATTAGCCGAGCATGTTTTCGGCGTCACTTGAAATGTACATAGAGTCTGTTCGGTGAAAGTTGATAAAAATCAGTATTCCTAACCTTGTTACAAAATGCGGCTCGCTAGTTTTTTTTCTGTAAATAATAAAAAAAATCACCGCGTCGCGTTGGCTCACCCGCCCGACTTCGCATCTGACAACAGCTGCGAGGTTCGTACCACGAAACTCTGTGTTTGAGGAGATAAGCCCCACAAACCACACAACTACGACCCTCACACACATTGCGAAACTTAAGGGATAGTCGCTATTGCGAGACGTTTTTATAATACTTATCAACCACATGCTGCCTCTATCTTTCTTTGTTGGTGGGAGAAAATCAAACCTTTGAGGATCTGAGGCCCTTTTTGTTTCAAGTTGGTTGTAAGTGTGATAGCTTGTTTGTCACCTTAATGATATGAAATATAAAGGTTTCAGAATATTATTTAATTGGACGAAGACCAGTACAAGGAGAATTTATGGCGTTTGCATACGATACACTTGAAAATCCCGAAGTGATTAGTGAAGAGCTGCTTAAAAAAATGCAAGTAATAACATGCACAGTCGAAATGGTACGTCTATTTAATGAAAAATTAAAGATATTGATAATTTTTTTAAATTTGTAAAACTATAGTATCTCTTATACTAGCACATATATTAAAAATGATATGTAATGGTGAGGTAAAGAAATCAATTGCCATTTCGTTCTGTTTCATAACAAGAGAAAAATGTCTGAAAGACCAGAAAGATCTTAAAGCCTCCGAGAGGCAGCACTGCACTATCTCCTACATTTATTCCAGGATCTAGACCAGCATTAAAAGTGCGAGATATCAGCGTGGGTAGCCATCTTGACCTTTTTTTATATAGAATAAGCTGACGAACGAGCATAAACCGGAATAAACTAATACGATGCTACTCGTAGCTGACCACTTGATCGAATGTGAAGAAAATAAAATATTGGAATATGATTTAAGCGTTGAGAATTGCAGAGATGGGTTCTGATATGATTACGAATAAAATACGAGCACAGTTCACCTGATTGTAAGTGGATGCTGTGGCCCATAGACATCTATATTTATCTTATTTATTTATTTCGAAAACCAACAGCGTACACAGAAAATATTTAACATTAATGTAACAAACTAAAGGTATGGCCAATAACAGGTTTCCCTTATATTGCTTGATGGTATATTGTTGTTGGAAGAAATACAAATACAAACAATCCAAAATACAATTTAGTGTAACGAGGGTGATCACAAGCTTACAGATAAGTTGAGTTCTTTGGAGGGTCTGGTAGATTGATATTATATATTACATAAATGCATATACATACACACATAAGCATATACGAACATACACATATATACACATTTAGATATACATATATATATAGATATATATATATACACATATACATATATATAATACGAACATAAATAGTACAAATATATAAACATAATGTTACGAGCTTGAGGTTCGTGACAATAAAAATTGCCGATAAAATTACCTAAATTAACACTTTAATTTACTTTACACAATTAAAGTTAAAACACTAATAATTTAAACACACTAATTCACTTAATTCCACTCCGAAGCTTCGCTTGTTTCGCCCAAATCAACACTGCCTCGATCGCACCTTGCAGCGCCTATATATTTGAATAAGCAAAGAAATATCCAGAATGTTCAAGTAAACACGGGCAAGGTACCGAGCGTTCGAGTTTCGACTAGGCGCTGTCGGTTGAGTAATTTGTGATGTCATTTTCTCAATGCTCCCCTCGCTCTCGTTCCTGACACTAGATGGCGCTGGTGTATCGTTGACTGGAGCGCGTAACACTGCCCCCTCCTAAGACATGCTCGTCCCGAGCATTATCGGCCCCATAATAACGCGCCAAGCGATTCACATGGACGATCTTAGGAGTCCCTCTTGCGCCTTTCTGTAACGGCTCCGCAATGTCAAGGGCTGTCCTATCCCGTGGTGCACCAACATTGTACAATTTCGGTGCTCCTCTACTACGTGTCCGAGGTCCCCGCTCGGCCACACAACTTGTACATGTACGACACCAATCCTCGACATCGTCACGATAATGGACCCAGTAAAACTGTTCTCGGACCTTCAGTAGAGTTCGTTTAACTCCCAGATGGACTCTTGAACGACCATTATGGCACAGCTGTAGAACATTCGGCACTTTAGCTTTAGGGACAACCATTTGCAAACGACAGCTGTCCCTTCGACCATTATCCCATTTACGGCACAGGACTCCATCCTGAATCAGCAAGCTGTCCCATTGGGCCCAATAGCTTTTCGTGGTTGAACTCGTCGCTGAGACGTCCCTCCACTTAGGCTTGGTAGCACGGGCATTCATCCATCCCAGAATCGGCTTGATGTCCGGATCTTCCTGCTGTGCATGTCGTAGGCTGTCCTTCCACCCGTTGCTGAGGTGGTCTGTCCTGAGCATCCTCACGGATACCACTTCCATACTCTCTTGCCTACTACAATGGTTGCAATCTTCAGGACAAGGTCTTCTTGTCAATGCATCTGCGTTGCCGTGAGATTTCCCGCTGCAGTGTCTGATAGTAAAGTCGTATTCCTGCTGCTGCTGGGCGGTGCTGTTAGCCGCACTTCCTTTCTGAGACCGTTCACCTTCCCTTCCTAGGGTGTGCTTAGGGCAGCTGGACCGAAGATGGCCCCTTTCCCCACAGCCATAGCACCTAGGGCTGTATCTTTTATTGTGGTCGCGAACCGTAACTGCTGTAACCTCCCTAGCGTGAGGTGAACGATGATCCTGTCGCCGCCAGGCAGTGTCGTTAGCTGCACTACCCTCTCGAGATCGATCAACTCTCCTTTCAACGGTTCGCTTAGGGCAGCTGATTCGAAGATGGCCCTTTTCCCCACAGCCATAGCACCTTGGGCTGTATCCTTTGTTGCGGTCGCGAACTGTAGCGGCTGCAACCTCCCTGACGCGATGGGAACGATGATCCTGCCGCACGGCTTCTACCTCCAGTGCATGGGCCAAGGCGTCCTTAAGCGTCTCGTGGTGCCCGAGCCTCACAGCAGCTCTGACTTCCAGGTCGCGGATGCCGTCGATGAATGTCTGCACCAGGTTCCCTTCAATGAGCGCAGGTACAGACCGGTATGCTTTTTCGCACCAGCTTCTCCACTTCTAGAGCCCACTGCTGCAGGTTTTCGTTGATGCGCTGCACACGATCTTTAAGCTGCGCACGAAAGACGTGTTCCAGGTGGGCGTCGCCATATCTCGCCTCCAATGCCTCAAGGAGCTGCTCGTAGGTCACTTTCTTACCGAGAGCTTCCAACACAGTTAAGGCTTGGTCGCGCAGGCCTAAGGTGAGTGCAGTCATGGCCTGGCTTTTATTCCAGCTGTTTGCCTCCATGACGGCCTCGAACTGGATTTTGTAGGACGACCAGGAAGAGGTCCCGTCGAACGGCGGCACTTTGAATCCACGTAGCGAAGGTGTTGTAGCTACTACGGGAGCTGTTGTTCCATCCCCAAGTTTGAGGTCGTCCAGCGTTTTCTTCACGTCAGCCATTACGTTGTCAACCCGATTGTTTACTTGGTCGATTCGGGTTTCGGCCTCCGACAGGCGGTTGTCATGTTGAGCAACCTTATCCTTCACCTCCCGTATCTCTTTTCCGAAAATAGCGTGAAGGTCCTTCATGAGGAGCATCTGCTCTTCCTTATCGCGTTGGAGTTGCTCTTCTAAACGACGGGCCTGTTCCTCCTGTCGGCGGGCCTGTTCCTCCTGTCCGCCCCGCAGCTGCTCTTCCAATCGGCGGGCCTGCTCCTCCTGTCGGCGAGCCTGCTCCTGCAGCATCACCATCAGAGCACCTAAGTCAGGTGCTGCAGATGTAGGAGCTACCGACGGGCCTTCAGCCAGTGGCTGGCCCTCCGACGTCTGCGGCGTTGCACCACCAAATCTTCTTTGGTCCGTCTCCTGCTGGCGTTGACTTCGGGTACGGACACCCTCCGTTTCCTCCTTAGGTAAAATCGGCATGATTTTATCCCACTTCTGACACCAATTGTTACGAGCTTGAGGTTCGTGACAATAAAAATTGCCGATAAAATTACCTAAATTAACACTTTAATTTACTTTACACAATTAAAGTTAAAACACTAATAATTTAAACACACTAATTCACTTAATTCCACTCCGAAGCTTCGCTTGTTTCGCCCAAATCAACACTACCTGCCTCGATCGCACCTTGCAGCGCCTATATATTTGAATAAGCAAAGAAATATCCAGAATGTTCAAGTAAACACGGGCAAGGTACCGAGCGTTAGAGTTTAGACTAGGCGCTGTCGGTTGAGTAATTTGTGATGTCATTTTCTCAATGCTCCCCTCGCTCTCGTTCCTGACACTAGATGGCGCTGGTGTATCGTTGACTGGAGCGCGTAACAATAATAAAAGTAATTAAGTATAAATAAAATAACTTATTATGATTAATCATACTGGCAGAAAAAACATATAAAAAAAAAGAAAAGAGAATACATGGTTTTACCGCAACTGCTATGCTTCTTAATGGTTTTCATGATGTCATGCCTAACCAAAACCTTAGATTTCGCAATGATGTCAATGTGTCCAAACTGTTCATTATACGTGCGAGCGAGTCGCGAGAGAACAGAGTTTCGGCAGTAATTTGTATGGTGCCGGGGAGTTTGTAACAAGGTTGTATTGCGGGTACGGTATTTTGGAGTACGGAAGAAGATTCTTGAGACAAGATTTGGACAATCAACATTACTTTTTATCACATCATACAAAAAAGCCACGTCAAGCACAACACGCCGTTGTTCCAAAGATAAGAGGTTGTGCTCGGTGCAAGAACATATTTCTTACCGATATTATTCTTAAACAGACAATCCAATAAAAGATTATCTGCAGTGTTGAGGGCTGGACTGAAAACCAGTGCTATCACTGAGTCCGGTCCGTTTCACGGTTTCATGCTGCAGCACAGGGTATTTTAAAAATGTTTTCTTAAATTTATAATAATGCTAAATTACTTTTAGTTTAGTTATATTTATCTTTTGGCATTTAACTACTTTTTACTTGTTATGCTGCATACTTAAACTGGAATAAAATGCATTTCTTTCTTCTTCTTTCTTACTACCATATGTCAGAGGAGTCACAGACAAGGTTGGCTACATCTTGAAGCGAGCTTCCATTAAAACATACTACAAGCCGCCGAAGAAGATTAGTCAATTTTTACCATCCGTCAAGTATAATATAATACAAGATGCAGGAGTGTACAAGTTAGATTGTGAATGTGGTCTCTCTTATGTAGGTCAAACAAAAAGATCGATAAAAACCCGTGTGAAAGAACATATAGCTGACGTGAAGCACCGACGCTCCGGGAAGTCTGCACAGTCTGTGAACATGTTCAAGATCGTCCCCACCATTACATCAGATTTGATAAACCACAAGTCCTCGCAAAAGAACACCCATTCCTACCAAGAATGATACGTGAGGCTATTGAAATTAAAAAACATCCTAATTTCAATAGAGAAGATGCATGCGTGTTGCCATCTGCTTGGGATCCGATAATTAACAAATTTAAACCCAAACCCAAGCATACCACTGCAATACTTCAAGATACTGTAAGCTCGTTTTGCGTAAATCAGACTGAAAAATTAATATTAAAGAACTGAAGGTAGCCGGGCTAACTATGACATTGGGACGTCAAACATCTCAGCCCCCCCCCTGTGACAATGTGTGCTGTTAAGCACCCGAAACGTCGAGAATCAAAAATAAGTAAAATCAGTTAAATAAACGCGATAAAATCCGTAAATTTAGTTTTATTCAAAAAAAAAAAAAAAGAAAAAAAATGATTCTCTAATATTGGACCATTCTAGCTTATGTCCAACCAATCAATCATAATATTATAACATTTAAAATTAATCTTCTGTTACCCCTTGTATTCGTTGTACGTTGCAACCAACAATTTCGATCATTCTTCTATTTAGAAATGTTCAAAATCTTCATTTGTATCAACTATTGTATATAATTAATAGTCTCACAGTCGTTTGCTTGTAGATTACTAATTTCAAGTCTGAATATATTATAAAGAATATTAACTAAGTTTAATTTTATTTTGGTTCTTAGGCCAAAAACACATTAACTTTCTAATCAGATATGTGTCGACCAGTCAACGTAAGTACATTCCCTCTATCCTCCGACAGTTAAATTTTATTTCAAGCAGTTCTCCCACTCCTAGATATTATATTATATTCCAGTCATAACAAAACTCTTTCAATGGTCTGGTATACGTTCATAGATAAAACTCTCACTCCTGGTTAGAAGTTAAACCACAACCACAGCAACACTTACGTTCCATGTTCTGTTACGTGTTATGTTTAGGGTAATGATGTCTTTGTAGGAAGCTCTCTCACACCTGGATAGATCTTAAACCCCAGCCACATAGCACTCTTATTTCATAATCAGGAATAAATTGGTTACAATAAAAACAAACTGTTAACTCAGGTACTTTGACTCCGACTTATTAACCAAAATTGACCATGAAAGAAAGGACACTTTGTCCACTTCTGATAGATTAAAAATAATGTATTCGTTCAACCTCCAAATCTTTGTTTCTTTGAAGAATTTTGTTATCCAAACATATTATGAACAACTTTACGTATACAAAAAATTAATATAACACTTTTTTAAAACGGACAAAAAAGTATAAAATTATTTTACTTTTTTCTACGTATCCTTTACATTATCGTCCGATTCTGAGCTATTTTCAAAATTTCAAGTCTCTGATCCGATCGATCGTTCAAATCAAGCGGACACACACGTAGGCGAGTTAATAGTAAAAGTATATCAATCCGTTATTATGTTATCTGAAATGCAATCCTCAACGCTCAAATCACATTCCGTAATTTTATTTTCTTTGCCTTTGACTCTCTGGCCCACCTGGCCAACTAGCATCCTATTTCTCTATACTGATCAATCTGGTTGTCATTGAAATGTATAATAATAGTATTTTCTTTAGGCTCTATGGAAAATAATGCATTCTGGAAGTAGCCATAATATCATAACAACCTGTTGATCCTAAATTATTACGACTATACGTGTGATATTTGAAAGTATTCATAATTTCATAACAGCATATTGATTATGATCATGAATTGTTCCGACTAAGCTTTTGATATTAGGTTACTCGTAAACATGTTGTGAAGTGTAATTTTACAGAAGACGATGACTATTATTACGAGATTGAACGCGGGAAAGCGATTCACTCATAAAGACCGTATTATTCTTACTTCCGTTGGTCAAAGCAAGGTGACATACCAAAAAGCAACACGGGGGGGGCAGTAGCTATAGCGTTATTTTCCGATACGAAATTACGTGTCATTTTTTGTCATTGTTTATCTTGTCATTTGCCAAGCACACTTGCTATGGGGAGTGAATTGAACCGCTCATTTTACTAGTAACGCGGTAGGTGTTTATTGTCTACAGTATCCACTTATTATTGTGTTCGTTTATGACTTTCAGTATATTAAAAAAATTGCAGGTGCAAACATATTTCTTTTTTTGGGATGATTTTGAAGATAGATGTAAAACACGTTGCGGAAAGCTATGTTGGCATTTACGTCCAGACACTGGGTCACTAGCGTTAATCGACGCCTGTATCATGAGAAGCTTTATAAATGAATTAATTAGACAAAATTTCACGGCTGAACTACGTGACAATATTTTACGCATATATAATGGAGTAAGTAAATTACGAGTTCTTTGCTTATTTTACTTTTTAATTTTATATAATTTTTATAAGACATAATTGCCGTCGACGTGTAATGCTGGCGTTAGAATAATCACGACCCAATTTCGTTCTATAGTTTTCGCGGGAGGCGGCTATGGGAAATGTCAAAAAAAACCTCATGACTGGACGGGCCGCAGCCGCAACAGCAAAGATGTGAGACGTCTAATATTGCGATCGTAAATCTGCCTACCAAGCGTGCATGACCCACAGTAGACTTTTACGCACTGATAGAAAAGACTTATACAATATGTATTAAAATTAAAACCATTTCAAGGACACATGAATTAAGCCGATCTGCTAAGAGAGATTGTAAATTATACGTATTACCATACTATTAAACATTCACTTGACATCAAACTTGTCAGTCACTTTGATAGATAGAAATGTCAAAGTTATCAAAAGCCCTGCACTACCTTGGATTCGAAGAGGTAGTGCGTAGGTGGTTCATAATTCTTGTTTTAGGTTATAAAATCTTTATCTAATCTTTTATTTATTAAAAATGCTCTCATTCGCAGGTTTATTTCAATGGTTCTATAGGACAATACTTAGATACAATTGCGGCCAGATCAAATAATTACGATAACTTTACACTTGCACAATATAACACTACAAATGAAATGAAATCATCGTTTTACGCGATCAAATCACCAATTTTACTAGGATTAGCACTTGCTAATAAGTTCAATGAGGAGTCCTACAATCTCGTGGATAACATTTGTGAAGATATTGGCATATTGGTACAAATTCATGTAAGTATACTTTTTATTGATTTACACATACAAACAAATAATAATATTGCAACGAGATATAAACTTAACAACGCCAGTCTAAGGGTTAAGGCAATCCATTTCTACAACGATAAAGGCACATGTCCGGTAATGATTTTTATTGGATCATGAAAAAGAATAAGAAATCCAAATTGGTCGGGTTATCACCACAAAGAAACCAATAGATATTTTTTTTTCTATACGACACCTACGAAAGACGTAAACATTTATTATCAATATATATTAAAAACCTACATAGGCCGTAACTACACTTTCCTTAGAAAGAAAATTACTGTATTCGTTAGCAACATCATGAATAAAAAATCAAGGCTTGATTTTTTAATCATCCGATAAAAATTATCCATCAAATAAGTAATAATCTAACTGAATATAAAAGTGAATCACTTGAACTATTTTATTTATACAAATGTAATTTTAAATTTATTTATGTTGTACTTTATAATAAATAATAATAAGACATTTTTATTCATAAGAAATATGGTACAGAGATGTTCGTATAAAATAATAAAATATCACATATTTCACTAGTTTTAGCATATGAAAACTTATGGTTAGAAAATACACAGGCTGCGCTAAAAATATCGGGAATGGAATATTTGAATTGAAAATCGAATACCATTTATTTATTTTAAAAAAGATTCTCGGTCTTGTCACAAGGATTTGTCAAACTTATTTAGTCGTTATAGTCTCGAGAAAATGGAAGTGACTCGAGAAAATTCAAGAGCGATGATTTATTATGACTTTCAAAGTGGTTTAACACAAAAACAGTGTGTTGACCGGATGATTTATGCATTTGGTGATGAAGCCCCATCCAACACCACAATTTATCGCTGGTTTGCTGAATTTCAACGTGGACGTGTCAAGCTCAGTGAAAACATTAACGCTGTGCGTAAGCTGATTGAGGAAGATCGACATGTGACACACCGCGAAATTCAGGCAACTTTAGAAATTGGCATGAGTCAAATACAAATAATCTTGCATGAAAAATTAGGTGGTAAAAAAGTTGTTTTCCCGATGGATACCGCATTCGCTCTGTGAAGAGCAAAAAGCGGCTCGCGTTACTTGGTGCGTCAGAACTCTCGAAAGAGTCCACGCAGGATCCTCAAATGCTGTATACAACATCGTATCAGGTGAAAAATCCTGGATATATGCGAACGAATCCGAAACAAAAAACCAGTCACGAGTTTGGGTGTTCGAAAATGAGTTAAAGCCAACAAAAATTGTTCGATCACGGAGTGTTGTAAAAAAAAAATGGTGGCCACGTTTGTCTCCAAAACCGGCCATGTTACGACTATTCCTCTTGAGGGACAAAGAACGGTTAATGCAGAATGGTATGCTAGCATTTGTTTGCCACAGGTCGTTTCTGAACTCCGTAAAGAGAACTGCAACCGCCGCATCATCCTCCATCACGACAATGCGAGTTCTCACAACGCACACAGAACAAAAGAGTTTTTAGAGCAAGAAAACATAGAAATTATTAGACCATCCGCCGTACAACCCCGACCTAAGCCCTAATGATTTCTATAATTTCCCTAAAATAAAGAATAAATTGCGTGGACAGAGATTTTCATCACCTGAAAAAGCTGTGGACGCCTACAAAACGGCCATTTTGGAGACCCCAACTTCCGAATGGAATGGTTGCTTCAATGATTGGTACCATCGTATGGAAAAATGTGTCAAATTTCGCGGAGAATACTTTGAAAAGCAATAAATATATTTTTAAATAGTAATGTTGTGTCACTTCCTTGATTGCCGAAATTTTCAGTATAATAATTAAGTAAAATTAAAATTAAAATTAGACATGCATCAGTTTACAATTTTAATATTTACCTTTTAAAACATGATCAAAGAAGAGACAGCGTTTTACAGTTGTAAGAAACGTTCTGTTATTTTTCATTCTATGAATATTTTTTTACTGATGATTAAAATAATCAGCGCTTAGTCACATAATTTTTAAATTTTTGTACGTTTTAAAGTCAAACAACCAGGTCCATTTTCCTCGTTTAAATTAAATTAGGCTTTCACTATATATTTAAAAATAATTAACTAAAATATTTTATTATTTGAATACAAAGAACTAAAATAAATTGACAGCTCTTAATCTTTTTATTTATTCGTAAATATAAACTTTCACAGTTGTAGAAAAATTACATCATCATCGATGATCAGTTAGAGTTAAATTTAGTGAAACGTAACAAGAGCGTCGTTATATTAAAACATTAATGCAGCGTGGATTTTTGTTAGGATTCTTAGCTAAGCTAACATCAACATGATGTCAATATGCTTACGTACAAATTATAAAAACGCAAACTATATTTGAGTTTAAATTATTGCTTTTTAATAATCTAAAACTAAATTCCTATGGTATATTCTATAGTAAGGATTATTCATTAATGCCTTATGAATAAAATACCTAATAGTAACAAAGAAAATCTAATTTGCATTTTTTTGTATTTCAGAACGATGTAATCGATGTTCTTAACATAGACGGATCAGTGACCGGTAAGAATGCCACAGATATACAGGAAAGAAAATGTTCTTGGGTAGCTGTTACTGTTTTAGAAAAATGTAATACAGAACAAAGGCGCATTTTCGAAGAGAATTACGGCAGCTGGGATCCGAAGAAAATAGACCGCATTCGCAAAATATACGAAGAGTTTGATGTACTACAAATGTATAGGCAAGAAGAAAAAGCGCGATATGAAAAGTTCCTTAAAAAAGTAAACGCTTTGCCTAAAAATGCAACACCATCTGCTGAGTTCTTCTATAAGTTTTATGATTTATTGAAAACCTTCACGCGGGATACCACAAATTTTATGTACATCAAACATTAAGAGGAAGTTTTGGTATTTTTTGTGGTAATGGGCTCGTACGGTTGTGGTTTTAAAAGTGTCAAGTATTAAGAAATTATCATTTATTTGTGAAAAAAACCTCATAATATATTGATTTGTCACATTATGAAATTTTGGGACATTTTGTCGGCTGCTTGAGCCTACAGAGAGTGTCGACGACTGTATCTCAAGACACCTAAATTGACGAAACGACTTGAGATTATACAGTTATGCTACATTAATCTTGTTTAGTGCAACGACGTTCTCTTGCGTCTCACTAAATTTCTCTCTAACTTGATGATGACGATATTGATATTTCCCTATAACTGTGAAAGTTTGAATTTAAGAATAAATAAAACATTTAAGTGCTGTCAATTTATTTTAGTTCCTTGTGTTCAAATAACAAAATCTTTTAGTAAACAAGGAAAATGGACCAGGTTGTTTGACTTTAAAAAGTACAAAAACTTAAAAATTATGTAATTACATAGTGCTGATTATTTTAATCACCAAAAAATATTCATAGAATTAATAGTAAAATCTCTATGACTGTGAACGTTTATCTTTACGAATAAATAAAAAGATTAAGTGTTGTCATTATATAATTTTAGTTCCTTGTATTCAAATGAATATTTTAGTTGATTTTTTTTAAATACGTACATAATGAAAGCCTCATTTAATTAAAAATAAATAAAAATAGAACAGGTTACTGAGACTATAAGAAGTACCAAAATTTTTAAAACAAATTTTTCATAAATAATATCATATTATATTAGTTATTTAAACAAAAAATAGCCAATACTTATTAAGTAATTAATGCAAAACGGTACTCTTACCCACCTTCAACTTCACTAATCGTGTAGTGGCTGTGCAAGAACATCTCATATCATCCAGTGGATATCGTCAGGGGTGACGAAGGAAAATGGAGACGAATATATACAGCAGCGCCTTATTGATAATAGCTGAATAAAAAAACTACGGTTTCCAATCCACGTGGCTACCATGGAAAATATCGTTCCCACGAAGAAATCTATGAAGGAGGCTATAATTGTAATGGCAAAAAAATATAATTTAAGTATTGTCAAAACATAAAAAAACAAACGCCCATTTATCATACTATATCTGAATATCATGTACTATAGGTGCCGTAAGAGGTGACTACGACTTCGATAAATGACCAAATGGTATAATTACTAGACCAGTAACAAGAAGCAGCGGCAAAGTGGGGAAGATCACTATTATTAAGTTTGGCGATTACTCCAAATTCCCTGGAATAGAAGAGGGTAATCGCTAAAAACGGACTATTATGAATTCATTAAGAATAGTGAATGGACTAGTATATTGGAAAATATAGTATATATTTGCGCTGTGTAGTGACAGTGTAAGAGAACCACATACCATTCCGTGGGTGTCGTAAGCGGCGACAGACTAAAACTGAAACAACTGAATCAGCAGAACTGGGCAGCAGAATCTTTCTGATCGCAATTCAAAATACATATAATATAAACAGTTTAACAGTAGTAGAGCCACACGGCAGCTTTTTCTGTTTATGAACTAAACAACTTCTGCTCGAACCGAAGTGATACCTCGACCTCACAGCGACCTATCAGCGTGAAGTTGAGGTTTACTTCTGGGTTTCGCTTGGTAAGTGTAGGTGGAGAAAAGTCAAATCCCTCCCCCCCCCCCCTTCTTATTCAGTGGTAGTAATGCCTCTTACGGTAGCGGGTGGGTGCTCAGGCTGCCCCACGTATTTGGGGGCGGGGGGGCAATTCCGCTCGCGACCGCGACTAAAAATATTTTAGACATCATCAAAAATATGACAAACACAAGTAGCTTAGGGCATGACGGCATTGCTACAAATATAATCCACTCCGTAAATAAAGAAATTTGCCATCACGTGAGCTATATCATCATTCTGAGTATAGAAAAGGGTATTTTTCCTGATGAACTTAAAGTCACCATCGTGAAACATGTATTCAAAAAGCTGGCAAAGAATCAATGGTATGTTATAGACCTATAGCCTTAATATAAATGTTCTTTAAAATATTTGAAAAATGTCTTTTTAATGTTTATTTGGATAAAACGACATTTTGTGTAGAGAACACAAAGGTTTCTGCATAATAAAACAATAAATATGGCACTGTACTATTTTTATAAAAATGTAATAACACGCGTTGATAACAGAACACCGGTATGTTCGATATATTGTGCTATGACTCAGGCTTTTGGCTATGTTGACCATAATATTTTAATTCACAAATTCAATAAATAGAACAATAATAAATATTATTAATATTTAGAGTAGACACTGTAAAACTATAGTTCACTCTGTTAGTTGATAAAAAAACTGTAACTGAATGAGTAAACAGTCCTTGCTGGCTGAGGGCTTCCAGAGCTGTGTGGAGACAGAGACAACAAAATGAGAACAGGGATATGGAGTTACAATCCATGAATATAGAAGACATCGGTAACATCCCAAAACCACCCCCCATACCTGCACCTGTAACCTCTGCCATTTCCAGAGCGGTATCAACAATTACTAAGGCTAATTATAAGCATGCTGCTTCTACTTCCCGTCACTGTATTTTTAAGTTATGTAATAATTCATCTAAGAAGTAGGCTAGATTATGGGAGTTATTTATTCGATAAGAGCTGTCAATATTTAAGTAAGTTAGACAAAATACAAAATCAGGCATTACGAGTAATCGGAGAATTCACTAAAACTACTCCTATACATACAACGGAGAGTGAGCTATGCCTACCTCCACTAAATGTACGAAGAACCTTTTTGGCAGGGAAATTCATCTTAAAAGCTAAATCAATAAGAAATAACATCACACTAAATTATTGAATAAATTAGCACATTTTAGAAATAATAAATATTGGCGTAATAAAAAGAAACCTTTACTATTATCTGTTTATGACCACTTGGTTGATATTATAAGGTATTCACAGTAGTCAAAAATCTGAAATGTTTAATATAAGTACATGGGTCAGTAACATAGATTTAAATAACATAGTTGATTTAAATATTCTGTGTATTTCAAAAGATATACGAAATTACAAAAGATAACGTTACGAACGCTTGTCCTGAGATACATAGTTAGTGAGTCAGAAGAGTTTATGTAAATTTAAAATTATTTGGACGTTGTTTAAGTCAGAAATGTTGTGCAAAAGTTAAACATCTGTGTACTGTGTAAAATCATAAAAAAACAACATTTACATATTTAAAACTTTTTATTTTTAAGTGTCATCGAATAAAATTTAATAATAATACTGTCATATAATACTGATCAACACAGCTCCATCTCACGCCTCCGTTGTGTACTAATAAATCAACGCATAATTTAGCTTTATCAACTATTAAAACTTATTGATCATGGCAGTTAAGTGCAGTGCGTGCGGCAAATACATGTCTCCGCAAGATGGCGCTAATGTTACTTGTACAAAGTGTAATAAACAGCTACATCGTGCGTGCGCTTCACTAATGCCATCCTGAGCTTGACCTGAATGCAAATTGAAAGAAAAACGTTGCAACAAGGACACAACGCCGGTAAAACCCTCAACAATGACTGTTGCTAATTCGAGTGAGGTTTAAAACCTCGGGGAGGAATTGCGATGTTTCCGAGAAGAAATGCGGCAAACCCGCGAAGAATTTCGGGCATTCAGAGAAGAACTTCGGGACATAAGAACCCTTGTCAGCAAATGCGATGCTCGTTTAGATAAGCTCGAGAACATGGTCCAAACTATCCTGGAATCACAAGAGCAATATGGCTCTCAAGGATTCAAAATTGAAATCCTAAAACTCGAGTCGACCGTCAATCAGCTGCAAGCCGACTTAAACGATAGGGACCAGGAGTTGCTTGCAAATGACGTCGAATTAAGTGGCATTCCAGAGGAGAGTCGGGAGAAACCAACACACTTGGTTCTATCAGTTGTAACCAAGTTTGGTATTCATTTGGAGAAAAAGGAACTGGTCCATTGTATGCGAGTGGGGGGCGCCCGCCAGGAAGCCACGTCTCGTCCGCGGCCCATCACTGTGCGGCTGGCGCGGCGCGACGTGCGTAATGACGTGCTGCGCGCTGCGTGCGTCCGCCGGTCTCTGACAACCAAGACTCTAGGTCTTAAGTCTGCACCCTGTAATATCTATATAAACGAACGACTGAGTAAAACAAATAGGCAGTTGTTTCGCATGGCACGCGAGACAGGCCGCAAGCAGGGATGGCGATATGTTTGGACGAAGGGAGGCCGAATTTTTGCACGTCTAGAAGCAGGAGCTCCAATAAATCGCATTCGCTTCAACGCGGATATTGCAAAGGTTTTTGGGTCCGAATTTGTTCGATCACCATAACTGTCTCTCAGTACTGTACTGTTTGTTACTTACAAAAAAAGAATTAGTGTTTTTAATTTATTTATTTAATTTTGTCACTGTTTACTATCGTCAAGTGTTATGTGACTACTCGTATATACCCATAGTTATTAATAAGATTTATTTACAACTACGAAATAATACGAAATCCGATTTAAAAAAAATATATAGTTGGGCCAAATTATCGTAATAATCTATTTGTATTTCCATTTACAGTTGGTTGCGCGGAAAACCATTCGTATTTATTTTATTAGAAGGTAGGCTTGCCAAAGCGTTTGTCCCTTTCCAAAAACTTACCGTCCTATCGACACATCAGGGTGGTGGGGTGGGAGGGGAAAGAAGATAGTTCTAGAATGTCACACGATCATCGCAACCGAAGTAATAAAAGGCGCGCGCGGCCCACGCGCTCTCTCTTCCCGTCGCGCTCTTCGTTGGAACTACACCGCCTAGGACAGTAGTGTCCTTGAAAGCTCTTGCCTACGCGCACCGCTAGTTCAACCGCATTAGCCCGGAGCAATCGAGTTCCGGGAGTAACCGCCTCACCTCGTGTGAGAAATAGTCGCGCGCTCTCTCTTGCATCGCATCACCGGACAGGAACGCATCTCTGGGGCCCCAGAGAATCCACCAGAAGTCGCACCGCAGCAACAAGGCGCCCAAGCCACATGGAAACGACACCCCGGTGAGTGAACCCCACCTTAATTCATATTCATGCCTGCTTGATAAAATTGTGTTTATTAGTTAATCCGCTCCAATTTCATTTTCTCCTAATCAAGCAGGGTTCCTTCATAGGTTTTGGCAAACAACAGTTCATTTTAGGGAAGAGCGAGTGCATTGTATGGGAAACCGCGTGCTATAGTCGCCATTTTGTGTAGAAGGAAGAAGCAATTCGCGTATACAGTCCATTTTGGTTTAACATCTTGTATAATAGGCTTAAGGCTCGACCGGGGAATTAGAAATTCGGTAACCTTAGGCTCGTCGCTCCACCATTTTCTGGACCTTCGGCCGGATTTGGACTGGTGTTTAGTAGCCGCTCAACCATTTTCAGTTTTTTGTTAGATTAATTACTTAGACAATGCACCCTAATTTTATTGAATGAATTTAAATAGTGTTTGTTTAGTTTAAATTTAAACTTTGGTTAGTTATTCGCAAATAGAATTCATTCATTTAAATAGTGTTTGTTTAGTTTAAATTTAAACTTTGGTTAGTTACTCGCAAATAGAATTATTCATTTAAATAGTGTTTGTATTTAGCTTAAATTTAAAGCTTATTAGTTGCTTAGTAATTGAAAACAGTTTAGTCACACACGTTTTACGCGCTTACCCGACATATAAAATATTGAGTTTCGCGAGCGACACGCGTCACCTCGGCTCGTTATACAGGTGTTCAATTTAACGACGTAATACGGCACGATAAGACAATAGCGTTGGGAGATATAGTTGTGTTACATTGCGTCCATCCTCCAACGTTGTGCGATTAAGTGTGATTAATCTAATATTAATTATAATAATTTAAAATGGCAGTTAGTGGAAATGAATTTAAAATTAAAACGCTTTACGCCAAGAGGGACATACTTTTTTCATGTATACAAAATATTAGTGATCACATAAAGAATATCAACTTAGAAGCAGTGCGAGGAAACGTTTTTAAATGAAATAGAAACAGTGAATTCTTTGCGGACGGATTACGAAAAGATATTAGACCAAATTAATAATTTGGAATTACAAGTCGACCCGAAATATATAGTGAACTACCAACCGCTTCCAGCATTTGAAGATATTATGTTGTGTCGCGTGAAAAGAAAGGCGAAGCTCTTGCAGTCCCCATCTCAAAACGAAGCAAAGACGGAAGCCCAGGTACGCCCACGTGATTCGATTAGGTTGCCGCCAATAGATATTCCGGTAATCAATGGCGATATTAAGACATGGTCCTTCTTCTTTAGTAGTTTTCAAAACAATATACATAATAATCCATCGTTATCGGACGCTGAAAAATTATATTATTTAATTAGTAAACTAAGTGGCAAGGCACAGTCAATTTGCTCGGGTTTCACACCAACAGCAAATAATTATTTGTTAATATTCGAAACGCTTAAGGACAGATATAAAGATAAGCGAATGTTAGCCTCTTCATATTTAGACCAAATATTTAATATCAAATATCATCCGCCTGTATCATCCGCGAACATCAACGGCTTAGAGCAGTTTTTAGATAAATTTGTGGCATCGGTGGCTGAACTTAAAAACTTGAAATTTAATGACCTTATGGACGTGGTGTTTCTCCATATTGCACTAAAGAAACTAGACCCCGACACCGTGCGTGCGTTTGAAATGGAGCATCGCAGCTCTAAGATGCCCCCCTTTGATTCATTAGCATCCTTTAGTGTGTAAGTGTAAGTAGTAAGTGATGCAGTGCTCCTCGAACGTTAGACAGGAGGTTAGGAAAGGTGTCGACCGTAGACAGGCTCCATCACCTAAAACCGCAGGGTCGTTAACGTACGTAACCGCTGCACCGGTACTATCCTACGTAACTACTATCCTATGTAAAGATAAACAACACGGTAATTTATACAATTGTGCGACCTTTCGTAAACATTCACCCAGCGAACGTTATAGAAAAGTGAGGACGAATAACTTATGTCTGAATTGTTTAAGCGATAAGCATTTAGTTGCAAAATGCAATTCTAGTTCCGCGTGTAACAAGTGCGCCAGAAAACATCACACGTTGCTACATTTCGAAAATAGCAACATATCTGCGTCAAGTAAAGCGGACAAGGAATTCACCCCTACTAAAGTCAACGATTCTAGCGATCGACCTGGTGATGTCGCTCTGTGCTCATTGGCAAATATGGGAGCACAGCCTCCTTCAACCGTGTTACTGGGTACAACCCGTATTGTAGTTAGGGATTCGCGTGAAAATGAACAAAGCGTCCGTACACTGCTGGACATCGGATCCAAAATAGCTTTATAACGCGACAATGTTGTCAGCGCTTAGGATTGGTAATAAATAGGTCACTTTCATGTCCCGTAGTCAAAGGCATCGGAGGTACTAGTAAAGTTACCCAGGGATATATAAATTTAAAATTTTATTCTCGGATAGATCGTAATGTTAACTTTGATATAAATGCACTAATAGTAGATAGTCACTGAACGGCTGCCAACCGTTTCGGTTGACACCTCGGCAATGATTGAATTTAAAAATTTGACTCTAGCAGACGACACTTACGCCGTTCCTGGAAACATAGACATGCTCATTGGAGCATCGCTTTTCCCTCATCTTTTGTTAAACAATAAGGTCAGGGGCAATTCCTCGCATACCGCGCCTTACGCATTGGAAACCGTCTTGGGCTGTGTCATCGTTGGCTCCGCCCCCATCATGGATAGTATTTCGGCAACCTCTTATTATGGTATGGCTGTCGAACCGCTCGAGTCGTTAGTCCGCAAATTTTGGGAGATAGAGGAGGTGAACGTCCCACCCATAGCTAGCTCAGATGACAGATTATGTGAGGAAATTTACGTCCGCACGACCGGTCGTGATCGCGACGGTAGATATAGTGTAGCGCTATCCTTTTAAAGGAGATGTTTTATCTCTCGGCGATTCGCGTCAAATGGCGGAAAAACGTTTCTACTGCTTGGAGCGTAGGATGCTTGCTTCACCCCAGTTAAAAGAAACTTATGACGGCGTCATTAACGAATATATAAGGGAAGGTTACATATCACTTGTGGCTTCGAAATTAGATAACCACGAAGACACACCGTCGTATTTCATAACACACAACGGGGTCATTAGGAAGGACAAACTTACATCTAAGTTACGTATAGTGCTCGACGCTAATGCTAAAACTAGCACTCACCTGTCGCTTAACGATATCCTCTATAGTGGGCAAAATTTACAGGGCAGTTTATTTAATATAATAGCCAATTTTCGTTTGTTTATTATAGCACTATCCGCCGATATTCGCCAAATATTTCTTTGCATAGGGGTCCGTGAATGCGACCATAGATTCCAACGCATTTTATATCGTTTCAACCCAAAGGAACCTCTAATGGTGTTTGAATTTAACCGCGTTTGCTTTGGTTTAAAGTCGAGCCCATTTCATGCGTTACGCACGGTGAGACAGCTCGCCCACGATGAAGGTCCCTCTTATCCTAAAGCTAAGAGGGCAATTGAAAGTGGATTATATATGGATGATTTTGTGTACTCGGTCGATAGCGTGGAGGAGGCCACCCTAACCACCGCCGAAGTTATAAAGCTCATGAAATCGGGTCAATTCGATCTTGTCAAGTGGACTAGTAATTCGCGTCCGGTCTTAGACACAATCCCACTATCACACCGTCTTTCGGCGATAAAGGAATTCAACGATTCTGATACACACAAGGTGCTCGGTCTGTGTTGGTCACCAGAGTCCGACGTGTTTAACCTTAAGGTAAATCCGCCCGTAGAGAAGTGCACAAAGCGCACAATACTGTCATGCGTTGCTAGATTATGGGATGTCATGGGTTTCGTAGCTCCGGTGGTATTATACGCTAAGCTTTTGATTAAACAACTTTGGTTATTTGAATGCGATTGGGATGACTTGCCGCCTGACAGCATTGTTCGGTTGTGGCAGCGTTTTAGAGAGGAAC